GGGCCCCAAAAGCGACTCAATTCTGTATTTATTTACCAAATTCTGTGCATATAATGTGTGACATTTAGATGAGATAAATATGGAGTAGAAGTGCGGTCACGAGTGGCAAACAAAACAACTTTTTGTGTGTTTCTCTGTCGACATTAACACCCGTCACAGACATCCAACCATTTGTTGGCCGATTGTGTCCACCAATTGAGAGGACATCTAATCCCGTGACAAAGCCGTCAGTCAGTATTGAGAATCCGCGTCACAGAAAACCCATTGAAAGCCACTTCACTGCACGCCTCCGGAGAAGTCGTTTGCCTCAACACATGCTATGAATTGTCTGTTTCAATGAAAATCACATTCATTTCTTACTGAAGACATGTTTGAGATGCGAAAATTGAGTCTCGTTTTGTCGCTGACTCTACTTGTTTTCAATCACTTCAATGGCATCTCAACGCTAGAAAACGTCGGTATGTATTGTATATTCGTATGACTCGCTTATACTCATGAATGGTATACTGGTATTGGTTTTGGCGTTTAAAAANTTTTGTCGCTGACTCTACTTGTTTTCAATCACTTCAATGGCATCTCAACGCTAGAAAACGTCGGTATGTATTGTATATTCGTATGACTCGCTTATACTCATGAATGGTATACTGGTATTGGTTTTGGCGTTTAAAAAGCGCAATATGTTTGTGTAAAATGTGTGTTTTATTTGAACTAATATTTAGTTCATTGTATCATTTGATACAGTGTTCGTGTAATTAATGAGTATTTTTAACATCCAATTAATTGGTAGTAAAATATCGATATATAAACACTAGAAACAGACTCTTTTGACGTATGGTTTTACACCAGAATTACTGTCGACTCCATTCGCTAATGTGTTTGACACACGCTTTAGTGTACATTAAGACATCATATTATGATATAACCAAATAAATTAATATGTAATCAACAAGATTATTTCATATTTAATAATTAACTAGATGTAGATACTGTTAACACATTTATGACATAATTTAATGTTTGGTGGCAATAATTATATAAATATAAACAATAAATAATTCTTTAGATATACTTATTGTTTATTAATGTTATATTGGTATACCATTAATTATTAATTACCATTTTATCACTTAAATTATTACAGTATTATGATATACTATATAATCAAAGTTGTATTTAAATCAGTTTTCTTTATGAATTGTTTACTTATTTTTGTAATTTTATTTTTTATACCATAAAGTAAATGGTGATAAATTATTAATTACCGTAACAGTAACATTTTTAAAAATTGAATTTTTAAATTTGTAACTCAATAGGTAATAGGCGTATAGGCATCAAATTAATTATGTTCACTTTAAGCGTGTAAAAGGCTATAAATGATTAAACAATAATTATTTTCTACTTTTAGATCCAAAACCCACGCAAAAGTGTAGAGAATATTAGTTGACAATAGAAATGTGAATTTCACAAACAAAATGCCAAAACTCATAGGAATTTTCAGAATTTTCAGAATTTAGACATTTATAAACTTTAATTAATTAATAAACAAAAAATATTAATTAGAGTTTTGTTTATTAGCCGAGAATTGAATTCATGGAAATATTAGTAAAAATTTAAAAAATCTTGTTATGAATACTTGAAAGGATTGAGATAAACAAAAACTGGAAAAGAAATTGAGAACAAATGAAATCCACTTTTGTGTCAGTATTTTCTTATATTAAGCTTATTTATATGTTTTATTTTTATATAATTTATATTCTTCGATGAAAACTGTTTTTTAAGATCAAAGTCGATCTCCTGTTGCCGTTTGACATTGGATTTTGGGGTTATAGCTATCAATGGCTTCACATGAAATGTACAGTAGTTCTCGCTTTTGTCTAACTCTACATGGAATCCAAAACATACAACAAATGTGTGATTTCAATCTCAATGGGAACTCCGATTCTGAAGTTATAGAAATTTTTTGGCTATAACAAGTTGTAAAGCCATATATACTGTATATAAAAATGGGTTTCCACTCAACATATAGTGGTTGTATGTATTTAATATGTATTCCGTCTGTCAGTACCAGAAATCTAATGAGTTGTTACATACAGACAGTAGGACTAACCCTATCGACGAAATGCTTGTATTTAATGTAAAGTTTTTATGATAACGAGTGGCATTAATTTTAGGAGACTCAATATCGTACCAGTGTTTTGTGTCTCATTGTAGGCCTTAATATGTATTCAATTTGCAGTCCATATATTAGTCTAATTAAATATTTATACGAAATGTATTGTTTCGTAGCACTGCTTATGAATAATGCAAACAAACACTTGTTGTTAAAGTAACTAACGATCGCTCACTCACTCGGCTGTAGTGGTCGTCAAAATTCTTAACTTTATTTACAAATGCTTTATATTATTAATACATTTATTAAATTAAATCAATTATTTATTTATTTATTTTTTGTTCCCTTCTCATTATATATAACCAGTGATAATAAACGGCCCTAAAATACGAGTTTTTTTTTGTTTGTTTGGAATTAAGTTTAATTAAAAGGACTTTTTTATTTAATAAATAACTTATTAGTCAACGAATTTATTCGGAATATTCTCAATGTATTCACAATAATAACATAAAACTTCACAATAATCTTCTTTAGGGACTAAAGATTTGAGTAAATATTTTATTTAAAAATTTCGTTTAACTTACTTTCGATCGACTCGTAACGCAAACTTTATTCAATGGCTTTCACTATTTGATTAAATGCTAAATCTTTTGACACTTTGTTTTTTAGTTTAATAATATTTTCTAGAAAATGTTATTAAAAAATAACTAATGACCTGTTGTTTTGTTGTTTATGTGTTTTAAAGGCTGCCTTTTCAGCGATGAACTCTGCGATGATCTGGAAGTGTGTTTAGATGGTATGTATAGCGTGTGAGCGCCGGTATTATTATTTGTATATAATTAGAAAAATATTTTACATTAAAAAAATCAATTGACGAGACAATTAATTATATGTAGGAAACCGTGAACTTTTCTATTACAGTATACAGTAACTTAGAATAAATGATTTTTTTCTATTACTGTATTTCAATATTATACAGAATATTCCTATACCAAAACACAAAGTTTTTTATGAAAAACAATAAAATGATAATAAAAATTCACTTTACATTTCAATTAAGGAATAAAATTCTCTCTTTTCATGACTCGAGAATATTTTATAAAAATTTAATTTAATTTTTATTGAATTCACAATTTTATTACACAATTAAGCTTTTCATACAAAATTTTGCACAGAATTCGACTAAAAGTCAATTTAGTTAAACACTAAAATCTTTTTTCCAAAATATTTTTTAGTTTTCAAAACATCACTATATTTGTTATCACTATTTAAAAAATACTAATGGGTTTTTAAATTAAGTTATGTTTGAAAACAGCTATTTTTGTCAAATATAATGAACTATAAGTTAATTACAATACGTTTAACATTTAGACAATGCGTTCGGACGGTGCGAACGAGTGGAAGACCTAAACGACGGCCAAACTATCGCCACATACCAGCACTCGCTTAACGACAAGACATTACGGCTCCTGGAGATCGAGATGCAGAGGCTATACGTCTCCGGTTATCGATGGGATAATGAATACACTCAGTGTGTAATCAAACAAATACTATACACTCATCGACTGCGAATCGATTACGACCCGGGATTGTGCTCACGGCTCCTACACTTATCCTCGTCGCTCATTGTATATAATATTTTTACTTTAGTTCATTTTCTCTCGTACTTCAAGTGGTTTTAGTCAATAAATCATTTGATTAATTACACTGAAAGCCACGAATAAATGGCTAATTCTAATGGATTGTACGCTTTTTTTCTGTACGGTTTGTTGAACTCCAGGCGCCCGAGACGTCGATCGAGTTGAACCGTAAAACGCCGGACAGGGAGATGGCGAGCATTGAGTTCATACCCGACTACGAGACAGACTTCGCCAAAGAGATCTTCTTGGGACTCAACGACAGGAATCACGACAAGAATGCCTACCATTTCGATAGTAAGCGGCGAATGGAAAACAAAGTGGAAATCGATGACAAAGTGTTTGAGTTCTTGAAGAAACTCATTGAACAACAAATTCACAGCAAAGGCGGCGCCGGTTCACTTGAATCGCCCGACCATAAGGTCTGTTCACATGAACTTTGAGTTCAAATATTTTTTATTATTAAGTGATAGGTGACAGCGAAAGCAAACGACTAATTAAATTATTTTCTTTTTTTATTGCTTTCAATCCATAGATCGCAGTCTTGGAGACGGATTTGTCATCGGATTTGACTCAACAGCCAGTGTATAGCGAGGGCGGTGTGGAGTGGCTGCCAATTGATGGCGAAGATAGTGTGGTTGCGATGAACACCGACTACAACAACATCGACGACAACAGACTGCTATCAGATGTGGGAAAATCGATACTACAATCAGATTCACTGTTTACTGGTGGCGACGTCGACTCCGATGACACGCCACTCGTTTTGGAGCCAATTCACGGAGATAGGGGTCGGCTATCGTACCATTGCTCACATTTTATGCCATTATATCGTGGCTTAATATAACGGATCAGTAAAACTCATGTATTTTTTTGTGCGATTTGTTTGACTCGTGCATAGATTTGCCAGAAGTGTATCCATTGGGTGATGAAGACGACGACGACAATGATATTTTCAATTCGCTGATCGATGGACAGGAAGATAACGATCAGGACGATGATGATGACGACAATGGGCTCATTGGTCGCAGTTTTCCCCGTCAGCACCGGTACGACACCAAGAAACCGGGCCCCAGCTATTCGTTGCATGAGTTTGACTCGCGTGAAGACTATCAACCAAATGAGGTATTGAATCGATAGTAGAAATGATATTTTTTATGAACTTTTCATTTGAATCCGACAGCAGAATAGGATTGACATGAATGTAGTGATGAATTAATGGGAATTCCTATTTTCCATACATCCCTATATCTGTTGCTGTAGTTTTGGTTTTATAAAAACAATTTAGAGTTGATATTCAAAAAGCGATGAATACGTTATGAAACTTATATTGTCTTAAACTTAATATTATTGCTTTTGTTTTCGTTGCATATTATATAATACATTAAATGAGATATAAAGCGAGTCATAAATTATAAAGTATTATATAATAGTTATAAATAGGTTTTCATTTCTAGATTAAAAATTCTCAATTTAAAAGGGTATATAAAATGCATAAATATTGTTTACATTTACGATAAAGTTATACACTTTGAATGTATCGCCCAAATAATTATGCGAAACAATTGGTATAAAATAATAATTTGATGACAGTTTTCGTTATAATTCCTATTATTTCAGTTCATCACAAAAAGTGAATTCTCAGTCAATATTGATTATATAAATACAATATTCAGATTATGTAAATATAAGCTATTACTATATACAGTGTACGGTATTGTATATAATATATATAGACCTTCTTATCCATCCATCTCTTGTTGAGTGAGTGAACAGGTATGGTATGAATGGATAGAATATTCTGTATATTCTGTATGATTGTTGAGGACTATACGACCGTATAATGAGTCCATAACTCTATCCTTAAAACTCTATATAATAAATGTAAATAACTATTACATTAGGGAATGATTTGTTGAAACAATGCATTATTGATGTAATGAAAAATCATTAAAACTTATCCAATAAATTATAATGTTAATATAATACATTAATAATTATATTTTGAGTATTTAATTAGAAATTAAATCGATTGAGCATAGGCATACGTAAGACATGAACACTTTTAGACATAATAGTTAAGCCGATTGTATGACATAATCATAATTCATGACTAATTAGTCAGATTTAAAGATCAACTTTTTTTCGCTATTCTCTCGCAAATCCGTTGCCATAAGAGATAAACTCATAATCTCTCGCAAATGCATTGTCAGTATTAGTCGTGTATTTGAATTTTGCTTAAAAATTATTAAATCTTAGTCTTTAAGTAAGACATTATTCCCAATGTTTTCATTTGTTTTTCTACGAAATTATTAGCTAACATTTATTCAAGTATTATCAGAAAGTCTTAATTAAGCACAAGTCAAATAAGTTTTTAATGAATTTTCACTTTCATAATAACGGCTTTAGTCATAATAACGTATCAGTCATATCCTAGTAATACTGTACATATGCCGTAAAAACATAATTAAATACTTTTGTTAAGAATTAATTATAATTTGACATTTTTTATTTATTAATATAATATATTCTAATTATTACTCATATTGACTATTAATGTAAGTATGAAAATATAACTAATTATCTAAGATTTGTAACCATAAAGTTATTAGCGAAAGTATAATTATATCCTAAACACTCATTAATATTAGTTTTATAAGTTATAAACAAGTATTTAATATATTCTTGCAAAGTTGACAATTATTTTAATATTAAATTTCTTACAATTAAATAATCTTAAATAAGTGTTAATTTTATTTATATTTTCAGGATTATAATGGTCGGCTAACCCTAACCTAAGTTCCCTTTCGGTTAACCAGATTTAGTCCAGTCTATATATTGTTAAATTACTGTTATACAAACAAACCGATATTTATTTTTAATAACGGTTTTCCTAATTGAATTTCCTCATACTGTAAAAATCTCTATAAATTTAAGTCAATCATTCAATTATTTAGTAATTGTCAATAAAAATCAGAGTATTTTTTTTTGTAAAACTATTAGTGAGTGAGGTTAGGGGTTGGTGTGTAGGGCTGACTATTACTAATATGAAAAGGTATAATATATTTATGTTATATAATGAAAAGTATTTTATTTTAAATATTTATTATTAGTGAAAGAGAATAAGAAATACAAATAAATTTTGCTTTTTCTTATGATTAATGCTCTAATAGTTGATTACAATTCATCTTATTTTCTATTAAATAATTAAATACATTTTTTTCCCAATCGGATTCAAAATGTTGAAACATTTTGCCAGAATTCAATTCTTAACAATTTTTTATGCATAATATTTAACACCTTTAATATTTATGTGCAAAGAAAACACATAAAAAACACCTCCTTTAATCAAGACTTAAGTTTACATAAAAACTACTCTCTTAACGCCTTTAATACAGTGCCCAATATAGTCTGGTCTTAGACTAAAGTTTGTAAAACAATTTGTTTTACGTTTTTTGAATTTATGTTTTATACACCGTATATATAGATGTTATTGAAATTCTTATTTAGTAGTCAATTAAACTTTATATGCATTGATTTTATTATTTGAGCATTATTTAGCAATGTGAATTATAAAGTTATAATTAATATTACATGTTGTATAATGAATACATATTGTGATAAGTAGTTAATAATTAGTGTTTAATTGGAGACATTCATTAAGCTATTTTAATTGTTTATTTTGAAATAATTAATAGATTTATTACTAATTTTGAATAAAAACAGTGATTATAGGAATTCAAATGATGTTAGCTTAATACAAACATATGTATGACAACAATTTATATGATTTATATATTGCTATAATTCTAACACTGTATAGCAAACTGTGAATACAATACAATAGTGGCAGACTTATAAATAACTAGTATATATCAGACAATAATTTGAATTTGTTTTTAATTAGGCGATGAATCAGAACTCAAGGATCTAATCCATCGGCCATTAAATGAAAAGACAGCCGGACAGAAAGGTATTTAAATATATTTATACAAAACATTGTTAAGAATTATTTTTGAAAAATACTCATTAGTATTATTATAAGTGAAGTGCTATTCTTGTTCTAATTTTAAGGACTTTTATTATATTATAAATTCATAAATTCAGAATACATAGAGCCTATTTATATTTATTAATTGTTGAGCAATACACAATACAGTAAGTTATACATATATATAGTTACAGTATATAAATCTATTGTATAATTGTAAGTTATGTAACAAAAAATATTTCTAATAATTTAAGTTTATATTATGAAGAATGAACAAAAATAGGAGAGAGAGAGAGAGAGAGAATGATGAACATTGTCTATTTTGAATACACATGATAATATTGTAGTGCAAGTGATACTGATAGGGAACCCGTGGAAAAATAATAATTAAAATTTAAATTGAATGCACTTTATTC